TCGTCCGGAGAGGAGCTCATTAACTTAGTCCCGCCGAAAGTGGTGTGAATTTTACCAAGTGACTCGTGAAACTGTAGCATTAGTCGCATGAGTAAGGGCTGTAGGACACTTCGCACAGCTCCCACCTTGGGCTCTGAGCCTCCACCATCGTGTAACGCTGCCTGTCAAGTATATTGGAGTTTCAAGCATGAGCCACCTACCTAACTCGAGTGACAGAAACTGTAGTTCGCAAAATGCTAGTCCACTTGCACCCCGATCTGTCCTCGTGGAACGAGTCTCTGCCCCTAGTGTGCCAGAGCAAGGCCCGAGAGCCATGGAACCTTCGCATAACGGTTTTGTGAATAACCTGAGTGCTCGCACCTCCAGAGTGTTACCTGAGGCACATGTATATACCCCCACCGCCTGTGACTCGACCGCCCTGGACTTGGATCTTGGATCGAACTTCGTGTGGGCTGATGACGACTTGGTCAATGAAGTGAGTGGTTTATTGTGACACGTCTGTTGGTCTTTATTATTTCAGTGGTCGCCATAATCATTGTCACGTGACTATCGCCGTGTCCATCACTATCACCCCCATCACAATCTTCTCTTTTGCTGTACCATTCTTATTTACTGCTCACGGGAAATAAGGTCCATGGCATTTGCGTGGAGGATAATGTATTGAAATGGTCTGCGAGTAATATAAACGATGGATCACGTGAACGTCCGGGTCAAAAATTATACAAATGGCAGACAGACACCTTGATAAGGTTCATAGAAAACGAGTCTTGAGACATGGGACTAGTGACCTACTGAAGTGTTTTTAGGAAGTTTAGACCGTAACGTTTGATATATATATATATATATATATATATATATATATATATATATATATATATATATATATATATATATATATATGATAATAATAAGTATTAGTATTAGCATTAGTATTATTTATTTATATTTTATATCTGCTTTTATATATATACACATTCTCTCTCTCTCTCTCTCTCTCTCTCTCTCTCTCTCTCTCTCTCTCTCTCTCTCTCTCTCTCTCTCTCTCTCTCTCTCTCTCTCTCTCTCTCTCTCTCTATTATCATATATTATCAACAGTAGCGTCTCATAAAATTGCACACACAACTCTTCTAGACCGGTTTCGTTGTGATTGTTGAACTTCAGTGTATTTCAGGTTCGCATTACCATGCGTGTGTTCACGTCTGAAAACATATTTGTCGAAACATAGCTAATATGAATGACCGAAGAGCAATTAGATTCTACAGATTTTTGGTTTCAGACTCGGTAATTGATATAGCTTATGAAAGATACATGTACGATGAGGAATATTCAGTAGGGAACAGCACTGGAACATATATATTGGTGTAGTGCATTTGTTTTGTTCAAGAGAAACACGTTTGTTAAATGGATTGGCATGGTGACAGTTCTATATTTACTGTTAACACTCTCTTTTATTTGTTATGAGACTTTATTCGCGAATTGATGTGTTTGATACGAGTACATTCGTTATGCATACTTGTACGTATGAGTCATTAGGCATGTTTCTGTGGGTAGATCGGAAGGTGTTTTATTGATTGGAAATTTATATTTTCTCGGCAGATTTACCTGTACGTACGTACATTTACATTCAGAATACAGTCAAACAGACAAGACACATTCACATTCGCCCACACGTACACATACACGCGCACACCCACACGCACAGGCGCGCGCGTACACACACACACACACACACACACACACACACACACACACACACACACACACACACACACACACACACACACACAAGCGCATGCACACGCATACACACACAAACACACACATAGGCACGCACACGCATTGATGCTTTGATTTCGTTTTAACATTTTCTTCTCTCTTTGGCAGGACTTTGACGCCCTCCTCGACGCAGCGTTGCATCTTCCTCCCCAGTGACATGGGTTGAGGGGACGGCGGAAGAGCGAGGGACTGAGAGGGATCGACCCCAGCCCCCCCTCCCCCCCTCACACTAATGGTCACCCTCAGTCCCTCACTCGCAGGCTTGGATACCGGATTCTCGACCCCCCCCCCCCCCAAGCAGCAGTGTCAAAATAAAAGACTCACGCATTGACTTGTACCGAGTGCGGTGCTGGCCAAGGTCTATACTGGAGCCTGACCGTGCTTCTGCTTCTCAGCGTAACCTGCATGCGCCTGCTTCACGAAAGTTCAACGATTAACCTGATCCGCGAGGCATTGTTTTTCTAGCTCAAGTGATAACTCTGTGCAATGTGCAGATGAGTGAACGCGTCAAGATGTCTGACTCGGACTTTAACAAAGTCGTGAATGTGATGTAAATTTGTATGTGTAGCGGGATGCCATGAAATGTGTACGCGAATAAAGATAAATTTTGTATGTTTGTATAAAAAAAAGATAATCTATGTTTGTAAATCTATATATTTATGAAGACAACTGTAAGAGGTTGGGATATCAAATATCCTTATTAATAAAATTATATAAAAAACTA